CATACGTAGAAAGGTACAGGGTCGGAGCTCCCAGGGCGTTGTCCGGGAACGTCAGTTTGGCTAGGCATTTGGATACACCCAGTGACACACCGGAAATACTGGACAGAGCGTCAGATGTGGGTCAGGGACAGGGCTGCCACAGGCTATGGGCCATGCTCGCTGGTCGCCTCAGGGAAAGGCAAATCAGCCACCTTCCTCATGCCCTATTCTTCCTGGAAGTAAGGGGGTGAGCTAGCTGGGCAGCCTGAAGCTTCCTCTTGGTTCTAGAACTCTGAGTCCACTATGGCACCACTGACTCAAGGTAAAGAAGCAAATAGTCTGTGTGAAAGTAACTTAAGAAAAAAGGGTTTAAAAATGTATGCGTTCTGATGGCAAGCAAACCAGTCATTTCAAGAGGGTTACTGTCTAACCAGTACTGAGACGTCCTGGGTCGCTGCCTCTTCCTCCTCTTTTCTGTCACGTGGACATGAAAGCAGGAGGGAGGGAGGCATCTGTTCCCCGGCCTCCCCACCAGCCCCGCTATCCCTCTTCTGGGAGCTGACAGATTGCCAAAGAATTCAAGGTCCTGTCGGCTGCAGACGCAACCCGGAGCCTCTGCAAGGTCAAGCATGTGGAAGGGTAGCAGAAGTCCGGGAAGGATCGATTCTGACGTTTAAAGTGAGTCAGAGAGGCACATGCTGCTCGGAGAACGAACTGATCCTCGGTCCCACGCCTGCTGCCCCCCCACGGACCACAGGGTTAAAGGGGCCCGTGGAGCCTGAGGTCCACTGCTAGGTGGCACCAAAGGCCAGCTGTGGCCATAGCATCCCACCATCTCCAGAGAAGTAAGAAATGGGATTTTTCTGTCAAATCTATCTATTCCTAAAGTATCTGGGATAACGTCAAAAACACCACGACCACCACAACAGAAAGCTACTCAAGGCCTATTTAGTTCTTGTCTGGATCTGGGTTCAGAGGGTCTGCGGACAGAGCCAAAGTGTTCAACAGAACTTTGAAAGCACAGGAGAGGGTCATTCACACAACACAGTAAGAACACGGCATTTTGGGAAAGGAGAGAACCTTAAGAGGTGCGACTGTATTGGAAATTTCGGCGCTCACCAGCCCCAGCCACACTCACGGAGTTCCACGCCTCCACAGGAGTGGTTCGCAGAGAGCGCGTGGACGCTGGGCCTCCGCACTCTGGGCTGGCGGGCACTGCCTTCTCCCCGGGGACACCTGCAGCGGGCGTGGGTCTCATGTTCTCATACATTGAGGGAAGTGGGAACCGAAATGACAAAGGCTTTAGAGTTGACTCAACCCTGCACTTACGGTTCCGTTAATGACATTGAACACTGATACTGAAATTCCGATCTATGGGCACCGTTCCGGTGCCCTCCCTACATCCAGGCCGATTGCTGATTACAGCCGAGGCCCTCAGAACCGGACCAGAACAGTTAGCAGGAGAACATGGAGTCCTCAGTGTGTTTCTATTAAATGAGATAAAAACACTTTCTTTAAATTGAACTTATTGGGGTGACATTGGATAATAAAATGATATAGGTTTCAGGCGTACAATTCTGTGATACATCATTTGTATATTGTACTGTGTGTTCGCCATCCCAAGCCAAGTCTCCTTCCGTCACCATTTATTCCCCTAGCCCTTCCCTACCTCCCCGCCCCCCTTCCCGCTGGTGGCCATACTGTTGTCTGTGTCCATGAGTCTTTCTTTCTTTTTTTTCTTTGCTTAATCCCTTCACTCAAGGAAGAAGACTTAAAAATTTTTTTTCTTGTTATAATATAACTCTGACACTTTGGCGTGTACACCACCAAAATGGAGTGGATTTCATCTTTGCTTTAGTATCAAGGTTATGGGGAGGGGGTATTTACCATGAACTAGAACATTAAAATCTGATAGAAGGACAGGCTGACACACAAAAGACCTGGGTTCTATTTTTAGCCGTGGTAGGTGCAAGATTCCATAAAACCAAAGCTTCTTTAAACAAAAAAAAGTAAAATACATCAAAAAGTGAGCAGCATTGCTTGATGTGAAACTAACTAGGAACCACAGAAGCAACATACTGACTTTTATGCCACAAGAAAGGTTCAGTGTGTTTTAAAAGAACAACATAATATGAATTTGTTTATTTCTTTAGTTGTTTTTGTTTTATCAATGTTTTTATGGATAGTTCAAAAACAACATAATTCACCTGTGACCTATGGTGTGCATCTCCCAGAGCTGGAAGGGGATTCAGAGGTCATCTGGTTCAAACCCCTTGCTTTAGAGATGGAAACTCAGCTTCAGAAAAGTGAGGGCCTTGGTCGAAGTGACAGATGGTGGATGGAAGAGCAGACGGGGGAAACCTTTCAGCGCTTCGCAAGGGCTAAACATTTTATATCAAGCTTCACTTTGCAGAAGATGCACAAATCCAATTCCCAAGGTCAGCTTGAGATTGTCTTTATTGCTGCAAACTCCATAAATAAATATGATGTCTATATATTGTGGAGTAGAAGTTATAGCCATCTCTGTTCATAAATTTCACAAATTTTAGTTATTTTTGGGAACATTTGTAGAGTTTAAATATATATATATATATTTGCATATATACATATATAGTTCATTTAAAAGCACTCAGGTACAAAGGCAGTATTTTTTCACCTAATATATGCAAGAAAATATTTGAGATAAAGGAGGAAAACAACAGATGTTCACAGAAGAAAATTTACTGAGTGTGTTGTGATACCTCTTCTTCAGGGCTAAGATTATTATGTGTTCTAGAAACACCAGAAACGCAGAGCACCAGAGAGCCTGTCTCATAGATAACCACCCTGGTCGGAGAACTACCGTCCTTTAGGAGTGCGCACCCGTCAGGCTCCAGCGACACGCAGGGCTCGGGGCTGTGCACGGGAACTTTCCCAGGGGCCCAGGTCCCACTGGTGGGAAGAGGAATGGAAATGGCCCCTCAGCCCCCAACACCAAGCACAGGTCCCCATCTCACCAGCGTGAGGGGCTCAAGACTATGACCCGCAGGGAGGGAGGAAGAGGCAGCGGGACCAGGAGTCGGAGAAGGGGAAAGAAGGTCAGGATGAGTAAGCCCCGGCCCTGTGTGTGCCCCTCCTAAGAGCCACCAGTACAGCAAAGCTTTTATTGATTCCTGATGCATGGATGTTCTCCCTTCCCTCCATTTAAATACTGAGACTCGTGTGTCCTGAGGCTGAGTAACCACTTAAATTATGTTGGAGCAAAAATGATTAATCGAGCTTTATTTTCCAATCAGATACTCTACAAGAGAATATAATTCAAAAGAAAATTTCTAACTTGGCCAAGAAGAATCGGCTGTAGTGTTAGAGGTTAGAACTCTCGAGTGAGATGGCAATGCTCCTCTTCCCTTAGCCTGAGATAGCATGGTGTTGGAGACATGTTTTCCAAGAGTTTTAGAAAATGGTAAGTTTAACTGCAAAATTTTAGCACTTGGCATTCTCATTCAGCCAAAGGTTGTGCCTCCCATGACATGGTGGATGGCCCCTGGGGAGGACACCCCTAAGGCATGCACAGGGGAAGTTCAGAACTGTTCACAGAGCAAGTTTCCACCCTAAAAACGAAAGTTGAGGTTGGGAAACCCTTGCAAAATAATTGCTATTGGGGGGGGGGGGTGTCAAAGAATATATATTAAAATGCGTCCTTCTTTTAAAAACATAGTCAGTAGATTAAAATTTTCCACAGCTGCTTTTATCCATGTAACTAAAACCTAGTTTAGTTCCAACTTTCAGAGACTGTGAAAGGGGAACAAGAGAGAATCCTGTTCCAGGTGTCCTTTTGGGGGCCTCCCTCACTGTAATCAAGTTACATATGTTGATACCCCGAATGTGGCATAACCACCGCTCATACAGTCGTGACATCACATCATGACGTTGTCCCTGTACCGGGCAATGCTGGGGCTTGGTTCGGTCACTACATTCCTGGCCTTCTGGGAGGCCTGCTGTGTGTGGAACAGAGAAAGACGCTGGAGACACCTGGCCAGGCTCTCGTCTCCCTGCTCTTCTCCGGGTGGTTTCTTCTAAGTTACAGGTCTGTTCTGAATGTTAACTAAATATTTACGAGACACTTCAAAATTCTCCCTGAATGCTAATGCGAAAGTAGCAACCAATGTTCACTTGAATAAGCGGAAATTTTCCTCCTTCTCAATTAGAGCCTCTAGCCTCTGAGCGTAATTCAAATAATTTGTTAACTTGAAAGAAAGGAAGAAAGAATTGAGTACCTACCGTGTACAAGGCCCCACACCATATGTGGAGACAAAAGTAAGCTTCCAGGACTAGGGCATTTGTCATAAATAACAATATTTCATATTACTTAATCCACACCATTATTCTCTGGGCTTAAAAGTTAATTAGATGCCAAACAGTCTCCTTTTTGGCATTAAGCTTTTCCGTGGCTCCTGAGCTTTTCCGTGGCTCCTGAGCTTTTTGTGGTTCCCATCATGCAACACTGTCTCTAGTTACATAAAGATGCTACATTTTCTACACATTAACATATATTTCGGTATTTTTTATTAGGATTTTGAAAGCATTTCATAAGGTTTCCATTTACTGTGTCCAAACATAAAACTAGCATCACAGCCCTTGTGCAGCTCCCCACGAGTCAGGGGATCCCGCTGAGACGCGCCCGGGCCGGGGGCCGCTAAGAGCCCGCGCACGCTCCACAGCCCAGTGCTCCAGCGGGGCTGGGTCGGCGTGGGGTGAGCACAGGACTTTGCACGTGAAATCAGCGAATTCTGCTCCAGCGCTTTGAAAAACTGTGTTTGATATTACTTCCTGTCAGGCATATCATGTGGCATTTTCCTCAATAAAACTAAGCGTTGCTGTAATTCCAGCTCCCTTCATTTCCCACTCTTTACGCGCTAACTAGTTAAGCTGTGAGGACCTGGCCGTCTCCAGCCGGTCTGCTCCGCCTGGGGGACAGTCCGGGTCTGCAAGGGGCCCGCGTCGCACATGGACAGACAGGGGACAGCTGTTGGGGTCCTTACCTGCCCGCAGGCCAGGCCCATTCCCCTTTCGCCCATGCCATGTGGGCACGACAGATTCAGCTCCAGGGCGTCAGCTCCGGAAGCCTGTAAGACACGAAGGGAAGGGGAAGCTTTACTTGTGCAGACAGGCTCTGCCCACTGATAAATAGCACAGGGCACGTTGCTAAATTGTAACTCTTCTGCCTTCTCTATGACAGCTATCTTGTGAGGTATATTCTGGCCCTCAAATTAGAGTGTGGATAACAACCATCACCAGTGCTCCTGTGAGGACACCACCGCCCTGTGCGCCTTGACTCTGTTGTCTGGGTTCTCGGGGTCCTTGGATGATCCGGGTACATTTCACTCGCGAGAAAACTGAAGCCCAGGCCTGGTTATTCAGAGACGCGGCAGAGACGTGAACTCAGGTCTGTCTGACACCGCACTTATTCTGCCCTACACAGCTTCTGTTGGCACAGGAACAAATCGTACTAATTCTGGGTAATTGGCACTATAAGGAGCCGCGCAAAGGAAAATGCAGGACCGCGGGAACGAATGCAAGGAAAATTTTAAATGCTTTTAACTCAACATTGATTTAATTGTTCTTTTTTTAAAATTCTATGCTCAGAAATATAGCGCACAGGTCACTTTGTCTGGGCTGGATCATCCGACAGGAACCTCTTGTCTAACTTGTTAATTCATTAGGTACGAAGGGCCGTGAGAACAATGTCGTTCAAGAATACGAGACAGTCCTGGGTTCCACAAGAGACTTCTGTGGAAACTCTAAGAACAAGTAAAATGCTTTTAAAACATACTTTAATATAGTAATTTGAGGAATGGGGCATGAACTAAATGATTGCAGTTTTACATTCTTTCACCTAACTTCCAGAATTTCCCTGATGCTACAACTTCTTTTTAAATACGGTCGACTTTAGAAACTTGACTCCTTCTCCATAATGTGATATCATGTCTATCAAACTATGCAAAGGCTTTAGAAAAGTTCCCCATTGCCCTGGGCAGTGTGGCTCAGTTGTTTGAACTCTGTCCCACGCACCAGGAAGGCACGGGTTCAAATACTGTTGTGGATTGTGGCCACGAAAGAGGCAGCCAACTGATGTTTCTCTCTTACATCAATGTTTGTCTCTCTCTCCCTATCTCTTTCTCTCTAAAATCAATAAAAATATCTTTTTAAAAGTTTGCTACTTTCTAAGTGCATAAGCCTTTTCATTAGGCCAAGAGCTGTTTCTTCAGGAACACTCCTCACTTCCCAATTGTTCAAGATTTTAGCCTATTTTCTTCTGCTTTATGAATTTGAGGTAGGACCTCAACAAACTTAAAAATTGTAGTTAGCATTTCTCACTGATCTTTATTCACCAGTGAGCTGGCTGTTTCCTGCACGTTTGTGAAAGTTCATTAGTTTATTCAGCCTGTTTTATAACATGATTTCATTATGGTTTTTGCTTCCCTGATTCAGTTTTAAAATGCTTCCTGTTATTTGAAAATTACTTTAAATCATGCTATTTTCCCCCTGCTGCTTTGGTAGTAATCATGGGCAACACACACCTGGTGAAACCGAGTTCAATCCCAGGTCGGCGAGGGAACGAGATGCTTCAGGCAAGTCAATTAACCTTGGTCTCTGCTCCAGGGTAAGCTGTAGATACTATGACCCATCTCCAAACCACGTCCCCAGGGAATTACCAGCTTAATTAAAAGATTGTACATTACAATTACATACACGACTGCACTTTTCTTATTATTTCCTAGTTATTTCGAATATTTCCTTTAGACTTCTTTATTTATCTGAAATGCAGCAATTAATAGCAAGCCAATTCAACAACATTTTGGAAACACATAAGGTTTCGGGGCATTTGCATACATGTTCACCTTACACATATTTCCTAGAATCTGAGTGCAAGCTTGCAGTCAGCTAGCACCGCGACAATAACAAGGAGCATTTATTGGGCACTTAAAACATTCCAGACACCTGCCCAGGCTCTTGCAGTAGAATACACCACTATCCCATTTGAAAAATGACAAAGCCAAGGCACAAAGAGTCCCACAGCTTGTACATGAGAGCAGGGCCTTGAATCCAAACATTTCAGTGCATTTGGAATCCACAGCCTGATTTTACTCACCACCATGACTTACAGAAACCACTAACTCTGTGGCTGGTGTTGGACAGTACGTTCATAAGCCTGACATCCTTACAACTTCTACACTTGAACTAAAAATGAAATCTTGTAAAGTCACCTACCCAATTTAAAATTTCTTTTCAGTTACTAATTATTTAAAAAGTCCTCAGTAGTATGCAAATGTCCAAACACTGACCCGCCAAACACACCTGGAAAGGCCTTTGAAATGAGCATCCGGGCTCACTGCCATCCCCAGCCACCCATGCATTCGAAGGGCCTTCACTGCCCAGTCATCAGGGAGTGCTAAGTCAGCTGCCACTGGGCATGCTGACCCCTCCTGGTCACCAGCCTTGGGTTCGTCACGTAGCTGAGTTTAGTCCACCCCACCTGACCGGTCATACGTGACAGTCATCTCCTGAGGCAGCGGCAGAAAGTGCGCCCGTCCTGCCTGCGTGCGTTCTCCACCCTCCCCGTGCAGTGCTGAGCTCGCAGCGGGGCTCTGGAGCCAGGTTTCGGGGGGCTGAGTCACTTACCACGCACTAGCTGTGTGAGCTTGGACATAGCATTTAACTACCTTTTGCCTCAGTTTCCTCATCTCTAAAAAGTGAAAAAACATGGAAGCAACTCACAGGGTTGCTTTTGTAAAGTATAAATAAATTTAATAAAAGTGAAGGACATAGAACAGTGCTTGGACTATAAAAATACTATGTAAGAGTAAGCAGTTTCTATCTATTCCTCCATCTGTCCATCTGTCCATCTGTCCATCCATCCATCCACCCATTCACCCATCCATCCATCCGACTGTCCATCTGTCCATCCATTCATCTGTCTATCCATCCACCCAATTAGACTCTCTGACTTATTCTTCTCCAGACTGAGAAAGGAGTTCAAGTACCTATCTATACTTCGGGGCGGGGGGACCATTCTGGGAGATCTCTCTAGTAGGAGCTGTGCAGACTCACATTCTGGGAGTCACTTCATAAAAACTCTCAGAGAACCCAGGGCAGCCAAACCACAGCCCCTGTACAGTGTGTATACACAACAAAACCAGGCGGAGAGCTCTTCCTTCTCATCTCCGCCCCTCTCCCTTCCTTCTGGTCAACATGGTGCTCAGGTCCTGGGTGGGGCAGAGCAAGGCAGTGGAGCAGGAAGATTTGAGGAGGAGCCATGAGGGCGCAGTGTGGAGTATCGCAGTCCAGACACCGCGAGAATGACGTCCACATGAGGGTGGCACAGAGTAGTGTGTCAGAGCCCACGTGGGAAGAGAAGGATTCCGTGGACGGTGGGGGCTGGCAAAGGGCATCAGAGCCCCAGCAGGGTGAGGAGGGTTCCTTGGTGGGGCAGGAAAGGTACACTTCTTGCATTTGCTCTTAATTTCTTCTTTTGAAAGAATACAGAAGATCCAATGCTAAGTAGCTACACTGTCATCGTGTCTCACTGTCCACACTGGAGACAGTTCTCCAGGGTCTTCCACCTGCCTAAGATGCATCTGCGACAGGTAAACCCTGAACTAGCCTGGACCACTGGACACAGTCAGTGACTCTCCTGTCTCCAAGGAGGTGTCCCTCTTTCCTGTGTCCATCTGTTCTGCTTACATCCACTGTTACAGAGGCCCAGCAGGTCCTCGTAGTCTTGTAATGTGCCTCTCTCTGGTTTTCACTCTGTCTGCCTTTGAGACTCCTTAACTCTAACATCTATTTAGTTTCATGACATGCTGCTAGCCCAGATTCGGTGGAGAGCCTGGTTTCTAAGTGGTTGATTTGGACTCCCTGGTAGGAGTTGTGTGGCCACCTGTCCTGGACACCTGTGCCTCTCCCTGGACCCCCCTCGTCTGCTCCTTCCACTATGGCCGCACCTTTGGCAATCCCTCATCCGGTCCCTGGCTTAAAGCCTTCAGTTTGGGATCTTAATTGCCCATTGAGAACAAAGCCTGTGCTTGGAACTGGGGACCAGCCAGGGACCCGGTAGGGGGCCACTGCACCGAGCCCTGTACTCAGCAGGGCAGGGTTAGAAGCTGGCGGCAGCACTGCCCATCAACTGCCACTTAGCAGAGCTGCAGAGGAGGAGCACGGGCAGGGGCAGACCCAGTTTTGGGGAGCCAGAAGCTTCAACAGTTTGGAGAAACTTTCTTTAAGAAAAAGATAGTTAAGAGTACAAGTGCAGAACAAGGACGAGGCCGGGGAGGGGCGGGGAGGCTCGAGCCTCAGCGGGGAAGGAGGCAGTGGTCAGACCACGTTGGATTTACAAGGTCAAGTTAAGGGTTTTGCATCTTAAGAAAGACAGTGAGGCCTGGTCGGTGTGGCTCAGTGGTTGAGCATTGACCCTGCACCAAGAGGTCGCCAGTTTGATTCCTGGTCAGGGTACATGCCCAGGTTGTGGGCCCGATCCCCAGTGGGGGGCATGCAGGAGGCAGCCAATTGACGTTCTCTCTTGTCGACGTTTCTATCTCTCTCTCCCTCCCCCTTCCTCTCTCTAAAATCAATAAAGGGAAAAAATAAAAAGAAAGCGGGTGGGGAGGTTTTGGGCTGAGTGAGGCCAGGTCGGCGGTGCCATCCTAGGTAGACTGGACTACAGGAGAGGGACGCAGACTGAACCATGCCCAGTCGCTACGGCTCCTCCAGCCTCAGAGCCCCGTTTGCCACCCAAGCTTTTGCCACCAGCTTAGAAAGAAACCTCAGCGCCTGCTGCTGTCTTCTCGTTTCCTAGGTGCCACTCACAGTGCCCCAGGGTGACAGCTGGGCTTCGTCAGAGCCTCCACGATGGCTCAGAGCGGAGGCCAGGGCCTGCCTGACCCCGAGGCTCTGGCCTCTCCCTCTGGTCTTCAGTTTGGAAGACGCATCTCACCACGTCCTGCCCCAAAGCGGGCAGGGCACACCCTGTGGTGTAGAGGGAAGCATGGGCCTGGGCTATGGAATTGACCAGTGAGACATGGGACACAGAGGGGAACCAGCAGGCCTCCCCTGGCCCTTCCCTACACTGCTGGGGGCTAGACGAGCCCGGGCAGCCCCGTCCCCAGGGCTGAGCCAGTCTGCAAGGCTGTGTGCTCCCCTAGATGAGGCACCCCCACATGGACTCCAGCAGCCTCTGCTCTGACAGTAACGCACCGTGAGGAGGAAATGGGTTTAAGATCTATAAAACGACTTCAAGATCTACATAAGTAGGACCAAATATTGTGAGCCTCCAGGGTCTGATCATCCATCGGAACCGTGCTCACATCCACACAGCCGGGGTTGCACCGTGTCCCCCTGGTCTGGCGGGCCAGGGCCTTGGCACAGAGGGGGTGCTTCGTACACCTTCCTTTGCACGGAGTTAAGATCGGCTCACTGTCCCAGGAAAGCAGGGAGCTGAGATCACCCCGGACCCGGAGAGCAGCCGAGCCAACAGTGCTGCTGACGATCGTGCGTGAGAACGTTCCCAGAAGCCCGTCTCTGTGCAGCTCACATGCATGACCGCGCCGCACCAGGCGAGACACGGACAGGTGACCTTGAAAGGTGCGCCGTCCAGGAGCTTTCTCAGGAACGTGTACGACAGAGTCGCACCAGGCGTACACGGACTCGCACGAGCAGCATTAGTCGAATTTACACCGAATTGCGAGAAAGGACCTGGCTCTGTTTCTTTCCTCTACCCACATGGCCTCCAGTCTTTATTCAGAACAGTGAAATCAAAAGGTGACCTCCGGTGGCACAAGCAAGCAACAATGACAATGACCCCTGTGCAAGCGCGTCCACGCTCAGCCCTTTCTCACGCCCATGCGCCTGGATCTGCGCTGAGCGCGCCTTCCCGTCCTCAGAGACAGTGAGAATGGACGGCCCGGCTCTTCCCCGTCCTCAGAGACGGTGAGAATGGACGGCCCGGCTCTTCCCCGTCCTCAGAGACAGTGAGAATGGGCGGCCCGGCTCTTCCCCGTCCTCAGAGACGGGTGAGAATGGACGGCCCGGCTCTTCCCGTCCTCAGAGACAGTGAGAATGGGCGGCCCGGCTCTCCCGTCCTCAGAGACAGTGGAGAATGGGCGGCCCGGCTCTTCCCGTCCTCGAGACGTTCCCCGTCCTCAGAGACGGTGAGAATGGGCGGCCCGGCTCTTCCCCGTCCTCAGAGACGGTGAGAATGGGCGGCCCGGCTCTTCCCCGTCCTCAGAGACGGTGAGAATGGGCGGCCCGGCTCTTCCCCGTCCTCAGAGACGGTGAGAATGGACGGCCCGGCTCTTCCCCGTCCTCAGAGACGGTGAGAATGGACGGCCCGGCTCTTCCCCGTCCTCAGAGACGGTGAGAATGGGCGGCCCGGCTCTTCCCCGTCCTCAGAGACGGTGAGAATGGACGGCCCGGCTCTTCCCCGTCCTCAGAGACGGTGAGAATGGACGGCCCGGCTCTTCCCCGTCCTCAGAGACAGGTGAGAATGGCGGCCCGGCTCTTCCCCGTCCTCAGAGACAGTGAGAATGGACGGCCCGGCTCTTCCCCGTCCTCAGAGACGGTGAGAATGGGCGGCCCGGCTCTTCCCCGTCCTCAGAGACAGTGAGAATGGACGGCCCGGCTCTTCCCCGTCCTCAGAGACAGTGAGAATGGACGGCCCGGCTCTTCCCCGTCCTCAGAGACAGTGAGAATGGGCGGCCCGGCTCTTCCCCGTCCTCAGAGACAGTGAGAATGGACGGCCCGGCTCTTCCCCGTCCTCAGAGACAGTGAGAATGGGCGGCCCGGCTCTTCCCCGTCCTCAGAGACAGTGAGAATGGGCGGCCCGGCTCTTCCCCGTCCTCAGAGACGGTGAGAATGGACGGCCCGGCTCCCAGCGCGCTCAGGCGTTCCTGCGCCCGAGGACGGCTCCCGTCAGCCGCTCCGTCCTGTGAACTCGAGGCGGGGGGCAAGCTGCAGCCCTGGGGTGGCATCCAGCCGTCACCCCGAGGACACGGTGGGAGCGGGACGGCACCTCCGCTTGAACACTGTTCTGTTGGTGGTGGTTCTAACGGGGGCTCTCCCCTGTCAGGGGACCTGCTTGCCTCCTTTGGGAGCATGTGCTCTGCTGGCCCCACCGAAGGCGAAGGCGAAGGCGGGGCCGGGCAGGAGGGCGGGGCAGCTGCCCCTGGGGCGGCCCTGGCAGGACCCCACTTCAAGGTTACAGAGATGATTTTTTAAGTGACACCATCTATAGACTGACCTTCTTGTTAGGTAGATTGTTTTCCTGTGGGGAGGTTACCCAGACTTAGACTGGATGAAAGACATATTTTTTTCTTTAAAAAATGTTTTTCTTCCTTCTTCCCCCTTCCTCCCCGCTCCCTTCTCTCCTCCTTCCCTCCTTCCTTCCCTTCTCTCCTCCCTTTCATTCTCTGCTATGAGAACTTGGCAAATGCTATCAAATTAAACTGCAATGAAAAATAGATATAGAATGTGAAAAATATTTTTAAGTTGTATTATGTTACTAATACAAAGGCTTTTGACGTTTTCAAAGTCAAGTTCACTTATTTAAACGTTCATCACTGAAGAAACTAACTTTTAAGTATTGTGTTCCCCAGAAGGGCAGAGAGCCAAGCGGCGTGGTAGAGCGATTCATCACAGTCAGCTTAAAATCGGAAAAGCTCATGCCAGGCACGGCCTCTGTGCAAGATTTCATGGTCAATTAGGTAAATACACGTAGAAAATGGACCCAGCTCCGAAGATCACGAAGCCAATTACTGACTATGTTTAATTTCACCCCCAGGTCCCAGCAGTCACGTCTGCTCACAGTGCTAAGATATCCAAACAGATGTACAGGCAACATTTCGAACAGAACGTGGACTCATGAGTTCATAAGTACAGTTAGATTCAGTCTCTGTACCTCTGGGAGGTTTCTGAGAAATCTCAGCTAAACCTGTCTAGAGAATTTTTCAAGACAGCATGATGGACATACGTGTGTCATGCTAAGGATATGTTTTTTTCTGTTTGAAATGCGGACCCGAGCCCGTGACTCTGCGCTCGGGCAGGACTCGGCCCCCACGGAGAAGCTGCTGGCTGGCCCTCCTTTAGGAGTGCCCGCCCCCCCTCTCAGCACCTCTGTATTCACACTCGAATTGTATTAAATGAACCTTTGATATTTTAAATATTCAAGAGTTTTATATTCAAAATTTCTCCTCTTGCTGTCAAACTAGCTTGCCTAAAGGCAAGGTAAGATCAAGTTAGACTCTCAAAGGTAGAATTAAATTTTATCATGACATCCATCATAATACACAGTTTGCTTAATATGCAAATAAAGAGTAAACGGATTCAGAGAATAAAGGGTTTTTAGGTAGCCTGTGAAATCCAAGGGACCACATTTATAGAATAGATTCCTTTTAAATTTACATTTCCATCATTTAAATGAAAACACTGGGTAAACAAATTATAATGGAAATGTTTTAAGGTACCATTTTCCATTCAATTTTACTGCCATGGGGTTATTTTTCATGGCCGCTCTTTATTTACAACGAGTAACAACAGAAGAGAAGAGGACTCCGGGCCAGGGCGAGGTTACCTGGGCCATCCTGGAGAGCTCCGCCCAGTCCTCCTTGCGGTAGGTGCACATGATGCTCGCGATCAGGACCTGCAGGAAGAGGAGAACACGGTTTGAACAGTGGTGCCTTGGTGTGCAGGCCTGCAGGCTTTCACGTGTGTGTGTTCACAGTGTTACACCAGTGTGCACAGCAGTCGCGTTCCTGTTGAGAGGGACATGATCGAATAACAGCAGGTCACCCTAAGCAAAGCAAAAGATGAGATTTGGGGCTTCCAACTTATCCTAGAGACCCCCTCGTTTATCTCTGGGCAATCGAACATGTTACCTGACTTTTCTGACCCTCGGCACTCTCATGAAATGAAGGCCACACGGACTCGTCAACCTCAGAAAGCGGTTCGCAGTGAGTTACATAGCTTCGTGCATGTGAGACGGTTGTCCGAATCATACAATGACATACAGTGTTTATTCATAGAATCACGGACATAGTGAAAAGGTTTCAAGGTATGGATGAGAAATTAATTAGGGTCTCCTTCTAGTACGGATGAGAGTACTTACATGTCACAGCACGGCATAGTTTTAGGTGCTGTCCAACGAGGGTCCCAGCAGTCTTCGGGACCCTCTAAAGGAGGCGCTACAGGGGCGTGAAGCCACCCCTGCGCGGAAGCCAGGCATCCCGATCAGAACTCTAGCTCCAACCCGGACAGCAAGGCCCTCCCTGGGGAAGGAGTTTCGTTTCCTCATGAGTTAAATGTGATGATACCGCCACCTACTCAGAAAACTCATAAAAGAAGTTGCTCAGGGCGACAGAGCTCTTAAGATGAGCTGGGTGCTGATTAATGGCTTCTACTTTATTGACTTAGTCATGCCCAACATTGTCCTCCCATTTCACGGACAGAGATGCTGAGGGCTGAGATGTTAGGCCACACAGCCGATGAGGGCAGAGCCGGGACTCAGGCCCAGGCCATCGTGCTCGGACCCTCCAGGGTCCCCAGCCCAAGTTCAAAATCACACAGCAACAACACGTTCAAATGGTTACTCTCAGGGCTTGGGGGATGGGCAGCGCCCCCAGGCGTGCTGCTAACACCTCAAGGGCAGGTAGATCCAAAGATCCAGCCCAAGCAGGACACAGATTTTATCATCAGATACTACTCCTGTGGTGAGAGTAAGGACCAAGTGGGTCTAGGTTGTCAGGATGTTTCAGTACTTAAAACAAATGAAGACAAAAGCAACAGAAACAGAAACAAACAGGTCTCCAACTAGGATGAAGTAGTCCTTTGTCACTTCCCCTCAGAGAGGCCACTGAGGTGCAGGGAGGAGCCCGGGGCGGGTCCTCCGGGGCAGGTCCAGGGGCAGACAGGCGAGGAGGACCCAGACCAGAGCCCTGGGGACTGCACACGGACGGCAGAGACAAGCTTGCCGCTCGCCAGGAACACGGCTCCTCTTTACCGAACGACTTTAATTTCGACAAAGCTGTTTTTGTTCAAACAGATATTGACTGTGCCAGGGTTGGTTAAAAGCATAATTTTCCTGCCCTGGCTGGTTTGGCTCAGCAGTTGGAGCCTCGGCCTGTGGTCCAGAGAGACCCGGGTTCGGTTCCCCCTAAGGGCATGTACCTCGGTTGCAGTTTGTCCCCGGCCCTGGTTGGTCGTGCGGGTGGTGGCCACTCGATGTGTCCCTTTCACGTCATTTCTCTCTCTCTCTCTCTTTCTTCCTCTCTCCCTCCCACTCTTTAAAATTTTTAAAGAAAGCATCATTTTCCCTCTAGGGTCTGAGGACAGTGAGGACCTCTGCAACTGGGCTTGATGGGGAGACTAAATGTCACCCAGAGAACTGTCCTGGACACCAGGAGTGTGCCATCCCACGTCCAGGCAGCTGTCACCAGGGAGGGTGACCACAGCTGGGAGAGAGGCGCTATGTTAGGCAGAGGTGGGCTTCATTCTCGTGCTCCGAGCAGCCCAGCCCCACCCGCCCTCCCCCCTCTCCTGGGACGGGCTCTGCCTGCCTGCCCAGAAGGCTGGGGAGGGTGCCCCCCAGGGCTCGGCTCGTGCCAGGCTCGCGGCTCCCCCCCCCCGGCAGAGCCCTTCCCTGGGGCTGCGCAGGTAAAAGCTTTTTACCCAACGGTCCGCAGCCTGGCAGAGTGTGCTCAGAGCAGTGGGGACCCTGACTGACCCCCACAGAACTGCCCTCCCACCCAGACTACTTCCCCGGAGAGCAGGAGAGCAGAGAGGTGAGGTGAGGAGAGACCTATGTTGCAGCCACTTCCGAGTCAGGCACCCCACTCACACACCTGTACACGCAACCTGGTAAGTACCACTTCGGGCTTGAGAAAATTCAAGTTCGATTCTGCTTTCTGTCACTTACAGGCTTGACAATGACGACATGCAAAATCACAGTTGTCATTTTTGAAATAATGTCTCGAACAATTTTTTTTAACAAGTACATTTAGGCCAAAAAAAAAAAAAATCTATAAAGTATTTCAAAAATGCTAAATTGAGGAGTCTATCTTTATCTAAAACCAAGAAATAGTTTGTAAAAAATACATGGTGACATTCTATGTCAGAGGAATAAAGGTGACCCCAAAATTATTTTATTCTTTATGAAAAGATATTAGGGTTTTTCGTAGTCCGGTGGAAAGACATTAACCCTAGAAGGACACTGGGCCTAATTTAATTTTTCGTTGGTGATTAGGAAGCCTGTCAGCGTTTTCCTGGGCTTGGTTTTCAGCCAGCTAAGAGGGTGGGAGCGCTCTCTCCTACGAAGAGCACTGATGGCTACTTTTATTGGGAAACATCATGCCGCATGGCTAGAAATGAACGCTCCACCAAGCGTGATTTTAAACCAGAGTAACGTTTCCCTATCCTTAACTTAATTTATGCCATTTCTATTGCTCCCTTTTTATGGCTCATATTTTAAAACATTGTTGGGTGAGTTTTATGTGAAAACCAAACGCGATGGAGAGTTAAAACCACATCCCACACTGCGGCTGCACAGCTGATGAGAGGCGAACGGGGCACCGAGCACCTGCTGCGGCGGGCACGCCCTGGGGGGGAGTCCGGGCCCCGCTGGGGAGTCCGGGGCCCTGCGGGGGAGTCCGGGGCCCTGCGGGGGAGCCTGGACCCTGCGGGGGAGCCCGGGCCCTGCCTCAGGCCGTCCACCCAGCATGCCATCCATAGCTCCTGAGCTACTTTGTGCTGGTGATTGTTTTAACTCAGAAGTAATGGGAGAACAGAAACGCCCTGCCTTCCTGCGGCTTACATTGTAAGGGTGGGAGGACATGGAAACAAGAAAAAAATACATTATCAGGTCTACTTCCAAGTCCAGATCGTTGTAGCCAGAGTAGGGGGAGGCAGGAGGCAGCGCCCAGGAAGACTGCCGTGGGGGGCGGGCGTTCTGCACGGAGGTTCCCAGGCAGGCGGGTCTGGCGGGACGGGAGGAAGGCTGTGCTGACCAGGAAGGCAGGGCAAGCTCCAGTGACGGGCTGCACCGGGGCTGGGTTTTATTACAGGGGCAATGGTGCCGCTGGCTACTTTGCAGGGAATGGAATGGGGGGTGTGGGGCGAAAGGAAAGCACCCAAGGAGGTAGAGAGAATGTGGGTTTGCTAGTAGCCATGGGCTGCAGAGAAGTGGACAGTCCTGAGCTGCGGCCAGTGAGACGGGCCAATGCTTAGACTCAGGAGAGGAGTGAAGAAAATGAAGGGTGATCCCTAAGTTACTGACATGAGATGCGGGGTGGATTGTAGACCCTTTCCTGGGAAGGATCAAAGATGAGTGAGGTATGAGTCCTGGGGGAGTCCCAGCAGGTTCAGGGTACCACCCTGCACACCAGACGCCCGCTCAGCATCTCATTCACGAAGACATCAAACGCGCCCCTGGACAGAGCTGCACTCCGCTGCGGAGACGACGACGTTGTCCAGGGACATCAGCAGCAGGACACACAGGAACGAGAATGGAGCAGAGGAACAGGAAGGGCCTGGGCTGACCCAGCCACACGACCCCCAGCTGTGGTGACTGAAATGCCCAGAGTGAAGTGCACCCCAACTTAGGAACGATGCGCCTGAGAATCTGGAGAAGAGAGGTGTCTGGGTTTGGCGATACGGACCCCCTTTCCAAGAAGGCAGTCTGTAGAGCAGGGTCAGGGGTCAGACTGGAACAGACGGCGTGAACAGAATGGGAAGAAGGGGGGAGTGGTCACTGGTCTCTCTGGGTTCAGTGCGAACAAAAGTGAGAGCTGAGGCCGGGACAATGGCTGGTGAGGCCACTCTTTCTCACTGTCACACAATTACAGTTCAGTCAAATTCTATGATTACATTTCCTTATGGAACGAAACGATAATTTTATTAAGCCTTTTAAAAGAATTTCAATGACGATAAAGCTTGCAGATCAGAAATTAAGGTGCAGGACATCATAGAACTTCCAACGAGTTATGGGCTATCTTGTCAAATTCCCACACACGGCGAGTCTGTGTTCAGAGCGCACACCGGGCACTGCCAGGGAACCCGTGGCCACACAATAGGCCACGCCACGGGCCACGCCACGGGCCACACCACGGGCCACACCACGGGCCACGCCACGGGCCGCGCTGGAAACCAGCCAGCACTTCGGCTCAACACAACCAGGTTTAAGTAGGAAAACTGTTGAGTGGCAAAGGTGAACAACTGTAAATTACAGGTAGATGGGTGAGATTTTGTCAAACAACTTGACAAAGTCGTTGCTAACACTACTGGGACTATATCGAGAGGAAAAACAATAGAATGGGGCAAGCGATTTTCAAAGGCATTCAAACTAAGACAATCCATTTATTAATTATTAATTAACTGCAACATTCACATTTTAAACAGTCTTCGTATCTGAATACGAATCGGGTGAAGGAGGGTTGGCACAGCCTTCCCGAAACGTGGACGTGGAGCAGACACGAGAAGCCAGGCCCCACGCTGTTCCGATGGCACGCGCTGTTGCTGACTTCATGCTTGCAAATGACGGCACCTCGACGTTGTCTTCCTACACTATTTTGTGTATTTTGGGACCAAAGAATGCCTTCCTTATACAACTATTCCTGATATAGGAAAACCACATTCAAATGAAACAATATG